GCCGGTCATGGCGCTGTGCGTGGCCATGGAGGCGGCACGGGGGGTGGGCCCACGACTCAGCACAGGAGGAAGTGGTGAGGTTGCTGCTCCCTCTGTGCCCACCACTGGGTCTTGGGGCACAGAGAGGGGCCACAGTGTCCCTGGCTGTGTTGCGCTTCCTGGCAGTCCCCTCCATGTTCCCTGGCACCACCGCTTCCCTTCCTAAGGCCACCGCTTGCCCTAGGGTCTATGGAAGTAATGGAAGGACCCCTCAACCTGGCTCTTCAACAGAGCAGACCAGCAGACCATTTATGAGTTGCAGGCAGATACAAAGAGGCTATTTCTTGTCACAAAAAGGCTTCCGCATATCTTTCTGAAGCCATGAAGCTGACACAATCTGAGCAGGCTCATCTTTCACTGGAATTGCAAAGGGATAGCCACATGAAACAGCTCCTCCTCATCCAAGAGAGATGGAAAGGGGACCAGCGTGAAGAAAGATTGAAAGCCCAGCAGAACACAGACAAGAATGTAGCTGCCTATCTTCAGGCATCTTGCAAACCCTCTGCAGAGGATGCAGAGGGCCAGAGCTCCCTTTCTCAGAAGTACAGCCCTTCCACAGAGAAATGCCTGTGTGAGATTCAGGGGATCTTTGACAGGGATCCAGACAAACTACTGTATTTACTTCAGCAAAAGAGTGAGCCAGTGGAGCCACGTATTGGAAGCAAAGCTCCAAAAGATGATAAAGCAATTATAGAGGACAGGCAACCAAAATTGTAGATTTGAAGAGGCATGTGGAATTCCTTGTGGCTGAGAATGAAAGATTAAGGAAACAAAATAAACAACTAAACGCTGAAATGGCCAGACTTCTAAAAGGTCCAATAGAAAAGGAGCTGGATGTAGATGCTGATTTTGTAGAAACGTCAGAGTTATGGAGCTTGCCACCACATTCAGAAACTGCTACAGCCTCCTCAACCTGGCAGAAGTTTGCAGCAAATACCAGGAAGGCCAAGGACATTCCAATCCCCAATCTTCCTCCTTGGATTTCCCATCTCCAGAACTTCCCCTTATGGAGCTCTCTGAAGATATTCTGAAAGGATTTATGAATAATTGAAATGGAAGGCCACAGAAGAGGAGGGGAGAAGAGGAAATAATACAGTAATAGTTAATCCAGCAAAAAAAAAAAATGAAAAGGGAAAAAACACATAGAAGGGTCATCCCGGAAATGCTTCGTCATCTGGCTGACAGTGAGAGAAGAGGCATTGCCAGGACTTGGGAAACAGTCACTGAAATGTGTCTCGTATCTGATTCACTGACTTGTGCTAATGATTCCAACTTGGCAGACACTAAACTCATGGAGGGTTCACTTTCTCCTGATACAAACCAAATGGCTCCCTGGAATAATTTTTTTCAAGCAACAATTATTTTTCTTACGTTCAGGTTAAAATGTTTAAAAGTATGTTATGCATAATTAATCTATAATGCCATAAATGATTAATGCAAAACCTAAATAACATGGTGGCCCGAGGGGCTGCCTTCTATTTGAAACAAGCTTTCTATCATGCATTGACTGTGTGCATTTTGTTAATGCACATTTTGTTTGTTTAAATAAGGTGTGTAAGATACACACCTTTCTAGATAAAACTATATGTGCCACACTTTGCACTCCTAATAATGGTAACCTCAAGACTTTCAGGAGAAATATTTAAATTTCCATTTTACGAAGAAAGAAACCAAATTATTATGCTTTTTTAAACAAATTACCAGTTTACATAATTAATCAGGGTGCATTTTAAGTTCTAACTTTGATTATTGTATAATGCATCATTTGAAAATACCAAGGAGGAAATACCCTTTGTTTTTAATGATGCAAGAGTGGGAGTGATGCTAGTTAGCAGTATTTGATTGTAAGAAATCAGTAAAGTAATTACATTAAAAAAAAATTGCATTCCCCCATTGCCTTCATTTTGGCCAATTTTTCCCATTTGGAATGAGTGTATTAACAACTTGCTTTTGATTATACAGGCTCAAAGGTGGAAATGACTTGCTTTGTGTCAGATGAGGCTTTGGACTGTGGGCTTCTGAGTTAATGCTGAAATGAAGACTTTCAGGGACCGTTGGGAAAACGTGATTGGTTTTGATATGTGAGGACGTGAGATTTGGGAGGGGCTGGGGTGGAATGATATAGTTTGGACTGTGTCCCCACCCAAATCTCATGTTGAATTGTAGCTCCCATAATTGCCATGTGTTGTGGGAGGGACCCCGCAACATATGGGGAGGTAATTGAATCATGGGGGCAGGTCTTTTCCATGCTGTTCTCTTGATAGGAAATAAGTCTTATGAGATCTAATGGTTTTATAAAGGGTAGTTCCCTTGCACATGCTCTCTTGCCTGCTTCATGTAAGTCACACCTTTGTTCCTCTCTTGCCTTCTACCATATTTGTGAGGCCTCCACAGCCATGTGGAACTGTGACTCTATTAAACCTTTTTCCTTTCTAAATTACCCAGTCTCTGGTACGTCCTTATGAGCAGCATGAGAACAGACTGATACAGACCTGGATAAATTTTCTTTAAGTTATCAACTATTTAAAATGTCCAAGACCAGAGAGAAACTACTGGAGAGTTTATCCTTTAAAACTGCAACTGGAGAAGAAAAGAATTGTGAGTTTGTGACATTCTGGCCTGAGTGCACCCCCCAACTTTCAGGGTCAAGGCAACAAAAAATTACAGCCTAACTGGCTCAAGGTGACAGAAATAAAAGTTCATGGCTGGAAAAAAAGTGAAAGTTTAAAGAAAAATACTCATCAGCAAGAAACTACAGTAAGAGTGAATCATAAAACCTAAGTATGAACTTTGCCCTATTTCCTAGCTAGACACTAAATTATGCATGTACAAGGGAGAACCCAGAGAACACTGTAAAAAAATTAGGCAGGGACCAGAGAGGAATCTACTTTTCAGAAACAGAGCTGCATAGAGAAAGTTCTATGTGTTTGCTGCTTTTTAACTGAAATACATTTCCAGGTCATGTGTAGCTTGGACAGCAGTAATCTAATGCCTTATGGGCTTACAGTACCAGGAGACAGAACTCAAGGCTGGAAGAATGGTTGGAAATTTAAGCAAGGGAACCACTGAAAGAGTGAGCCCTCAAAGCTGAAGTTAACTACTTCCTATTACAAGAGAAAAAAGTTTGCAGTTTGAGTCCAGGCAAGTTGACTGCCTACTAGAATTGAAAGTAAAAAATTAAGTGTACAAAAAAGAAACCACATGCACACATGCGTGCATGTGCGCACACACACACACACACACACACGAAAAAAAACCGTAAGAACACACAGAACCCAGAATCACTATATTTCCTGCCATCCAATTTTGAACCAAAATTTAGTAAACATGCAAAGAAATGGGAAAATGTATTCTATTATTATGATAAAAGACATTCGATAAAAATTTTGATTTATTCCAGATGTTGTATAGCAGACATCAAAGTAGCTACTATAAATATATACAAAGAATAAAATAGAGTGTCAGTGAAGAAATGGATCATCTCAGTACAGAAATGAAGGTATTAAAATGCAAGAGAAAAATTCCAGAGCTGAACAGTACAACGTAAAGTACACTAAATAGACTGAGCAGCAAAATGGAAAGGACAGAATCATTGCTGAATTTGAGTATAGATTGATAAAATTTATTCAATCCAAAAAACAACAAAAAAAGGAAAGAATATTGAAGAAAAGTTAACAAAACCTCAGAGACCCATGGAATAATTTCAAGATTTCAAAATACGTGCAATTGAAGTCCTAGAAGAGGAGGAGATAGAAAAAGAGGGAAAAAAATCACTGGAGACAAAATAACTAAAAACTTCCAAAATGTGGTAGAAAATGTTAATAGATTCAAGAAGCCTAAGGAACCTGAAAACTTGATAAACACAAAGAAACTACTCCCACACACATCATAGTTAAACTGCCAACAAGGAAATATTGAAACCAGAAAAACACACACACACACAATATGTTACATTCAGAGGAAGACCAACATGATTACAGACGGCTTTTCAATAAAAACTATAGATATTGGAGGACACTAGAACGGCACAGTGCAAAAAGAAATGAATTTAAGAACGTATCAGCAAAGAATTGTATGTGCGGTAAAACTAGCCTTCAAAATGAAGGTGAGAAGAGTTCCACTTCCAGTACGTGCAAGCAAACTCTTAACACAGACCCTCTAACAGATAGGTATAACTACCTAGAGACTCAAAAGAGGCACAAAAGCAGGCAGATTCTGATACGGTGAGTGCCCTGTTATCATATATTGTAGCTTAAGGATGGGCTAAGGCAAGACATGGTAAGTTTCACATGTGAAGGCTTAAACTCTGAGATATACAATCTTTCCGGCTTGAAAAACCAGAAAACAGAGTTTGGGAAAACTACAGCTCTTAGAGTATACAGAGAATACCACCAAGGAAAGATCTAAGTCTTGCTCTGTCACTCAGGTTGGAGTCCAATGGTGTCCAATGGAGTCCACTCAGCTCACTGCAATCTCCGCCTCCTAAGTTCAAGCCATTCTCCTGTCTCAGCTTCCCAAGTAACTGGGATTACAGGAATGTACCACCATACTCAGCTAATTTTTGTATCTTTAGTAGAGATGGGGTTTTGTCCTGTCGGCCAGGCTAATCTCAAACTCCTGACCTCAAGTGATCCACCCACCTCGGTCTCCCAGAATGCTGGGATTAGAGGTGTGAGCCACCATGCCTGTCCTCTGATATCTTAACCATATATGCACAGACAGATGGCAAACAGATCAATTAAGGATAAAAGAGCTAAACTGAAATTTTAACTGCCACCCAAGAGGCAGCATTTTCAATATAATTTCAACAAAGTTAATTGTCTGCTAAAACAAAAATAGCAAGTCTTCCAAGGAATGTATTTTTTTAATTAACCATTTCTTATATTAATATACCAGGACTTGAGGTAATAGTATATTCAGTGACTCACACACTCCAATAATAAATACTCTTAGGTAATCTTCAGCCTGCAACAAATCTTCATTTATTGACTACTTACAGTACAGTGATTTTGCATCTTAGCTGGTAATCAAAGATGGTTATGTATTAAATAAGAGAAGACATAGTCTCTCTTCCAGATATCACCTCTCAGAAATCTGGGCAAATTTAATTTTAAGAACTAGAATTGCATCTCCTGGTGGTAGTCGTCACCCTGAGAACAGGAACAAGGCAAAGTAAGTACACAGGATTTTGATTCTCCTACACAGGTGCACATAAAGTTAGTTTATTAATGACTACATTTTGAAGCCAGCCATTTCGTCTAATACTTAAATAACAAGCTGTTTAATATTAAAGCAGAATGTACTGCCACACTGGGACAGAAGTACAGCTTTATCCATAAACCCTTCACACAATTATACATTAAATGTTATTTTTATTTAATCAAGGCACCCCTACTTGTTCTAAAATATGGGATGTGCTACTCCATTGTAAAAGCAAGTGAAGAGACTGATTGTTTCCTATCTAGACTGGTTTAAATTCAAGTGAAGCCATTAATTTTCTCACTAGTCTGGACTGTTCTGACATGTCACTTCACAGTTTTGAGACTAACAAACACCCTTAAGTTTACCCCAAACCAAAAAAAGCCAGGGAGGGACAGTTCAGACAACTTTTAAGTAAAGACTAGAATGTCCCTTAAGTAGATAGACACCAACATTAAACACCTTTAGCACAAGGCTTAGAAAGGTAAAACATTTCTAAAGACATAAAACTGCCAAATTGTCATTTACACTCGCTAAAGTGTGTTATTTATTTTTTGTTTTGATTTTTTTTAAATTCCTATCTAAGTAATCAAATACAGCAAAATTTAAAAATATTCTGCCAAACCATACCAGTTCAAAGGTCTGAAAACTTTCTTTGCTTTGGTGAATGTTTGGTTAAAATAAATCACTGTTTCGTTCCATGAGAAGTTTTACATCAGAGCACTCAATTCACAGGCAAAAAAAAAAAAAAAAAAATTATTTTTTAAATGAAAGAGTTTAAGGAATACTGCTGAATAAAAATATGTAGTTTTTACAATGGATAACATATCATCTATGAAAACAAACTGTTTAATCATATGAAATAAAGATCATATTTTTAAATCAGATCCTGGACAGTTTAAACAAGTTTTAATTTGTGGTTTATTTCATAATCCCAAACTGGATCTTTCATTTCTTCTTCTAAGCAGTCCATTATGAAATTTTTCTTAGAAGCAATTAACCCAAAACACCAAAATCAATTCCCTAGCAGTTGCTGCTAATAAACTGGAAGTGTATATCCCATGTCCAAGAAAGATGTGCAAATGAAATGCTTCTTACTTCATTCTTATTATCTGGAGCCCCTGAAGTCTAATTTTCCTTTTGGACAAGAACTCAGGAACAATTCAATATACCTATGATGAACGTGGGACCAATCCTTGAGCATCACAGCAACAGCATCCTCGTGGATCTCAAAGTGCACCTCAGCTTCTCCAGTGGCCTTCCTACTGGAGCTGTATTCCATGGTGATTCTAACAGGCTTCAGTGGAGCGAAAAAGTTTATAATGTCTTGGGCATTGGCTTGGAAAGGTAATCCTCTCATGTGGACAAAATACAGACAAGGCGTAGTTCCAAAATCAACAGCCTCTGGAAGCTTTTCTGGCATCTCTTGAGGCAATTCTATTTCTTTCTCACTTTCAAAAGCTGCCATGGATCGAATATCCTCATTTACTTCATGTTCTTCAAAGACCATTTCTGGCTCAGTTATATACTTAGCAGTAGGAGAAGATGCCATTTTCTTTCCCTTATGAGAACAAACATGTGTTCGACCTTCATTCCTTCTGCTTGGAAATATCTCGATGTATCGATTACCAATTTCTTCCCTGTGTTTCAACAGGGCTTGGTTGGCCATTTCTGGTTCTTCAAATTGCACATAGGCTTCCCCTGTTTTTTGTCTCCCTCTGTAGTCCATCACAAAAGTAATGGCAACTGTATTCAGTCCTGCAAAGAAGTCTACGATGTCTTTCTTGTTGCAACTGTAAGGAAGTCCTCTATAGTCACAATGTTGAAAAACAAATATGGAGAAAAAAATCTTGAAAGCTGCCAGAATAATAAACGACACATCACATAAAGGGGAATACTAATTAGAAACCCCTGACTTCTCATCAGCACCTATAGAGGCAAAGACCCTACAGTGGGACAACATCATTAAAACGTTGAAAGAAAATAAAACGTCTCAACCCAAAATTCCACATCAAGTGAAAATATCCTCAAAAATGAAAGTAAAATGAAGACATTTGCAGACAAAAGTAAACCAGAATTTATAATCAGAAGAATTGCACTATAAGAAATGTTAAAGGAAATTCTTCAGGCTGATGGGAATTGATAGAAAACAGAAAATCAGATCTTAAGGATGGAATGAACAGGTTCTGAAATAATAATTATCCAGGTGAATATTTAACAATATTTTTCTCTTTATTTCCTTAAAATACATATAGATATAATACACGTGGCAACTATGACACAAATAGAAACAGGTGGAGTGGTGAAGGGATATACATGGGTGGAAGGCTTTTGCAATGATATATTTTGCATTTTGCAGATTTTAACTTCTTTCTCTCAACACTTCTAGAACAAGTAGACCAAAATCAAAAACCAGTAAAGATGATCTCAACCATCTTGACCTGTACCCCAAATCCTAGATAATATATTTATTTTCAAGTATGCTTGTCACTTTCACCAAGACAGCCCACGTGCTTGACCATAAACCAAGTTCCAATAAATTTGAAAGAATTGCAGTCATACAAAGTATGTACTTGGCCCACAATGAAATTAAATGAAAAGCACATAACAATAAGATATCTGTGAAAATCTCAAAATATTTGGAAATGAGACATGTATTCCTAAAAATCCATGGAACAAAGAAGAACTCACAAGGTAAAATGACAAATGCAAAAATTAGTTATTTGAAATAAATCAACAATATAGATAAACCTCTAATCAGCAAGAAAAAGAAGAAAACAGAAATACAAAGAGGTTATCACTACTAGAATGCCTACAGACCTTCAAATCATAATAATATAATATTATAGGCCAGATATTTCCTGAAAATTCAAAAATGAAGATAAAGTTAACCTTGAAAAATATAACCAAAACTGACATAAAATGAAACAGAAAGTATAAATTACCTTGTATCTATTAAAGAAAGTTCATTTGTTATCAAAACCCTTTTTACCTCCAGGCCCAGATGGTTAACTGGTGAATTTTATCAAATATTTGAAGATGAAATTATAGGCTGGGTATATATGGTGGCTTACACTTGTAACACCAGCACTTTGGGAAGCTGAGGCAGAAGGATTGCTTGAACTCAGATGTTCGAGGCCAGCCTGGGCAACATAGCAAGACCCCATCTCTACAAACAATAAAATAATTAGCCAGACATGCACCTGTGGTCCCAGTTACTCAGGAGGCTGGGGTGGAAGAATTACTTGAACCCAGGAGGTTGAGGCTGCAGTGAGCCAAGATCATGCCACTGCACTCCAGCCTTGGCAACAGAGTGAGACCCTGTCTCAAGAAAATAAATAAATAAATAAATAAGAAACGATAATATTACACAAACTCTTTCAGAAAATGGAGGAGGAATATGGGTAAAGGCCAGAAGTTAAGCAATGCAGACAGCCTCTAGAAGCTAGAAAAGATAAATAAATAGATTTTCAACCTGAAGCTCCTAGAATAAGGCTGCCAACACCATGATTTTAGGATTCTGACCTCCAGAAATGCAAGAGAATAAATTTGGGTTGTTTTAAGTCACTTGAAAAAAAAAAAAAAAAGTAGGCCAGATTCACTGGCTATCGCCTGTAATCCCAGCACTTCGGGAGGCCGAGGCAGGCAGATTGCTTGAATCCAGGAGTTTGAGACCAGCCTGGGCAACATGGCAAAACCTGTCTCTACTAAAAATACAAAAATTAGCCAGGAGTGGTGGCACATGTATGTCATCCCAGCTACTTGGGAAGCTAAGGTAGGAGGATCACTTGATCCAGGGAGGTTGAGGCTGCAGTGAGCCAAAATCATGCCCCTGCACTCCGGCCTGCACTCCAGAGCAAGACCCTGTCTCTAAAACAAACAAACAAAAGATATTTAAAAAAAAAAAAAAAAAAAAGTAAAGAAGATAAGGGAGAAGGTAACACTTCTCAACTTGCTTTATGAGTCCAGCTCAACTCAAATCTCAACAAAGAGTACAATGAAAGCAAATTAGTATATAAGCAAATAAAAGCCAGTAATGCTTGAAACAGAAGCTACCTCATGGCCAAGTTAAATTGATACAATAAATAAGAGACCATTTTAACAATTAAAACTCAATGTAATTCAATTAATTCCAGTTGAAGAGCTTTTCTGAATAGGTGCAGAAAAATCTATTTGACATAATTCAAGATCCATTCACAATACAAACTTTCAAAAAAACAGGAAAAGAACTTCTTCAAATTGATCAAGGTCATGGTTATAGAAATGAGTCAAAGACAATCTCTGTGTGTTGGTATCTGGGTTGCTGGTTTCTGTATGAGACCTGTTAGCTCAAATCTGTCAGCACCAAACATAAATTTTTGCACATCCAGTTATTTTTAAAATGCCCAAACAAGCATATGTACAGCCATTTATGTCCTGTGTGCTTTGCATACCCCATGAAATTTCACCCAGCAGCTGTTACCCATTGTTCAGATAGGGCCTTGGGTAATAGTGTCAAAAACCACAAAGTATTTAGTAATAAATGTAGCCAAAGCAGTAACAACCTCTACCTTGAAAACTATAAAACATTTCTCAGAGAAATTGAAGAAGATCAAAAGAAGTAGATTAAATCATGTTCACAGATTGGGGGAAAAAGCAACATTATTAAGATGTCAATTCTCCCCCAAATCTCTATAAAGTCAATGATATTCCACACATAGTTCCAGCAGGTTTGTTGACAGAAACTAAGAATCTTATTCTAAAATATATGTAGAAATATAAAGGAACTAAAATTTCCAAAGCATTATTAATAAAACATCACAAAGTTGGGAGGGTTTAACCTACCTCATCCCAAGGCCTACTTTAAAACTACATTAAACCAAAAGGTGTGGTTTTGGTGAAAGGATGCCATATAGCTCAACTGAATGAAAAATAGTTCAAAAACGGATCCACACATATATGGTCATTTGATTTTCAACAAAATTCCCAAGGAATCTGATGGTGGAAAGAATGTCTTTTCAACAAATGATAACTAGAAAAACTGGATATCCATATGGGAAAAATGACCATAAACAATAAATCACACCATAAATAAAAATTTACTGAAAATAGCTTCAATCATAGACATAAATGTAAAAGCTGAAACTACAAAATATCTAAAACTTAGGATGAAATCTTTGTGACCGTGGAGGTAGGCTAATGTTTCTTTGTCATGTTACAAAAATCACTAAGCATAAATGAAAAAATTGATGTTTGTCTCCATTAAAGTTCAAAACTTCTACTCAAAAAAAGACACTAACAAGGAAATAAGCAAACCACAGATGGGGAGAAAATATTTGTAATACATATTATTTGATAAGGGACTGGTTTCTAGGATTTAAAATAACTCTTACAACTTAGTAGTAAAAAAGCAAACAACCAATTGATTTTTTTAATGGCCAAGATTTTAAAAGAGAATCTATGACTGGCCTTAAGTATGTGAAGAGTGACTCTTCATCATTAGTCATCAGGGAAATTGTGGTAGTCATCAGGAAAAACATTATGTGTCAATTTAGCTAAGCTGTAGCAGTTATTCAAGAAAACACTAATCTAGGTATTGTGAAGATATCTCGTAGATGGGATCGAGGTCCATGGTCAGTTGACTATAAATAAGGGAACTATTCTAGATAATCTGAGTGGGCCTGGCTCAATCAGTTGAAAGGCCTTAAGAACAGAGCTGATGTGTCCCTGATGAGGAAGACATTCTGTCTGTGGGCAGCAGCTCCTGCCCATGCCCAAGAGTCTCAGCCTACCCTTCCTGACTGCCTGCGCTGCATATTTCACTCTGGCTGGGCTGGAGAGTATGAAGATGGGGGGTGAGAAGGATGTCAATGAAAACCCTACAAGAGAGTCTTCAGAAAACCCTACAAGAGAGGCTGACTCCATCTGAACGATGCTCTACTATGATCTCTGGACCTGTAAGAACTAGGGCAGAAACATCACAAACTCTACAACATTTGGGACTACTGCTCTCACGTGGTCCTCTTGGCACATTAGAGTCACAATCTTCCAAAGGAGAGACTGCATGGGGCTATTCAAGGTGCAGAGGATATTCTAATGCTAGACGGCCAACGTCAGACATTTGCTTACACCCATTGCCAGCCCCCAACCTCCAAAGGGGAGCTCATGTCTAACTAAGGGGCTCTTTTCCCTTACTTTCCCAAGGCTTGGGATTTACTTGGAGGATGGTGGTCCAGAGACTTATAATCCCGGACTGCTCTAGGAAGTGAATTAAATAATTCTCCCTCCTCTCTTTACCTCATCTACTCTCTTTGTTAATATATTTATCCTACACCTCATGCCCATCAGAGAAACACCTTTTTTGCTGTTTTGCTGTGACAGAGATCCTGAAAAACACATCTGATTCCACCAACTCTCCATTCCCAAGGTACATCTGGTGCCTTTGCTCCCTGGGCATTTCCGTATGAGTTGTCTGTATTCACATTTGTATTGTTCTAGACACACCTCTGGGAAGGTTTCTGCTCCTTCCCCATCAAAGCTTGGAAGCCCTGGCAAGGCAGTATTTCATCAGGAATCTGCATTGGGCAAGGCTTCGCTGAAACTTGTAAGAAATGTGTTACTACAAAAGCTTTGCTTTTGATGCAAAAGTTGGGATACCCCTTGCTCCTAGAAATGACCATTTTCACTTTTTTATAATTTAATTTAAAAATATTTAACTTCTTGCAATTTTTAAGTGTTAATCTATATTGGTAAATATATTCACATTGTTGTACAATTTCACTTTTTTTGTTTTAAAAGTAACTCTGCCGTCATGTGGATTTACACATGGTCTGCTGGGGAACGTCATGAGATTTTAAATTTCCTTCTGGGATTTTTTGAAGGCACAATCTAACAGACCTATCCACATTATCAAAAGCCTCTGTGTGTTTTTCTCTGCTGTCAGGATATATTTGAATATAAATAATTTACTTTCTGCCCAGAATTCCAAAATTATATTCTATACATGTGAGTCTTCCCAGTAGTCCATCCTTACCTGTAGAACCAAAGAGAAACTGTGCAAGGTGACAATTGCTTCCCACAGTAGAGGTCTGCAACTTTCCCTTGCCTATGTACGGCCCTGGTAACAATGCAGAATCCGGAGTCCCATTCCTAGAGATTTGAATTTAGTGGGTCTGGAGTGGCACCTGTCATTCTGTATTTTTCACACACTCCTGAGCAGGATGGCAGCAAATCATCCTTGCAGAACCAGAACCTAAGCAGGTGATCAGAGAGGAGCTGCCTGCCCACTATGCTTCTCCCCTCTCAGGCCTGAGCTGTGAGCATCTTCCAGCTGGGCCCAAGGAGAATTCAAGGACCTTCAAGATCTGGAGCCTGTTTTGTAGTCTGTGCAGAAGATCCTCTAAGCACCTTGGGTGAAGACGATGCCTACCTCATAGGGCTGTCCTGAGGATAAAATAGACAGAACAGGATCTGGCACCCAGTGAGAACTCAATGAACGTTAGGTGTTGCTCTCCCCATGACCATGGTCATTGCTGGTGTGATCGCTAACACTCCTCTCAAGAGATGGCAAGGAGAAAGCTCCTGAATGAGCCCTCCGCCCTCTACCATGTGAGAAAGAAGACCCCACTCCAAGCAGGTAAGAACTGTGCAGAACAAATTAAAATCATGAGTCCAGCATCAGCACCACACCCCTTTCACCTCATCTCCCTCACACTGGGAGTCTTTTCCAAGGTTCTTGCCTCTGCAGGAGCAGCCCAGGCATTTCACCCAACAGGAAACCATCCTTAACTAAGGTTAGTGGACCCTTCTCCAAGACTATTTCCTCCCTACGTGCCACTATAATCTCCAAATCCCTTTTCCATGTCGTCCCAGACATGTTCAGTTTCCCAATCTGATGCAATCCCCTTCACCAAGTGGAGGCTTTCACCAAGCCCTCTTCTGAAGTTGAAGTGCTATGAACTTTCCCCAGGACATCAATGACTGTGCTGAGCCTTAGCCCCCTTCCCAGTCTTCCCAGCACAGTCCTACAGCAGCAAGTCAACCTGCATTCCAGTGGGAAATGGCTGTGTCTTGCATAACCTCAAAGCTTCCCTAGTCTCTGCACAAACAGTAGTCTTTCTCAGAATGTGATGAAGTGGGCATACTGTACATAGAGCCAAGTGCTTAGTAGGTGCTCAATGGAATGAATGTGTTGTTAAGAACAAATAGTTTCTCTTCAAAGGGTTTCAATTTCTGATTCTTTGTTCTATTCTAAAATGTAATCTTACCCATTTATCTATCAGCCCTCCCTATCTCTGCTGTGACCAAACACACCCGAGCATTTCCCGTCACCTATGTAACCATCCTTCCCATCAAAAGCCCACCCTTGCCCCTTTGATGATGTCAACAGTAGCCAATTGGAAATAGCCTAGACTGTGTAGTCCAACCCCAGCCCGCAGTGGGAGGACACAGGAACAGGGTTTGCATTAGGGGTTAAAATCTCCTGCTTTCCTTTGTTCTGTGAGCCCTCCCTTGCCTCTGCCTTGTATGCAGGAGATGCCCTTCTATAGAAGTAAATTGCCTTCCTGAGAAACTTTGCCTTGTGTTGGTTCCACTTTGAGGCACAGAGCATTTTTATCTCCAACAATCTGGGGGCTCGTCTGGGATTCCCATTCTCCTCTGGGGAAGGATCTCTGGTCCCCTCCTGTTGGTGTGCCCCAAGAGAAGGTGTGCCCCACTGCCTCGTTGTGGCAGCTCAGGGGTAAAGGAGTTGAGACCCACCCAGTGTGACGAATAAACCCAGACTCTCAGCAACATGGGAAAGAAGCTGGCCGGCAGCTTGGGGAAAGGAGGCTCACATACCGCAGTGACCAGGTAACTCTACACAGACCAAGGTGAGAAAAGCCACAGGGGCGGCGAAGTATTGCCTTGGTGGTCGGAATTCCAGAGGTTGAAAGTGTGTGAATGGTAACAAGCACTACTGCTGTGAGGAGGAGTGAGTCCAATCTGTGGTTCCGTGGTTCCCTCAGACAGCTAATGGTGGCCCTCTTGTAGGGATCCTGACATTGGGGTTTACACAGTCCCGACAATGCTAAGAGGAACATAATTTCCTTCTAGGGAAGTAGCCAGAGTGGATGAAGCAAAAGAAGGGTGCAAAGAACCTCCAGCAGGTGGGGCTAAAGGATAGGTGAGACATTTCTAATATGAGAAATTGGGCCTGATAGCCCTAGCAAGCCCCTAGAGAAGGATAGGCAAGACATTTCCTATAGGAGAGATTGAGCCTAACTAGGACCTAATATGAGAACTACCGCAAGCAAGACAAGTAGAAAGGATAAAATTAGCAACAAAGATATCCCACCAGCCAGTAGACTCCTAGGCCTCATGTTGAAACATTAGAAAAGTAATGAAAAGACGAGACATAAGAAAAAGCAACAAATGATAAGATAGTGCTGTTCCATTTGGACTCAAGGACCAATCCTCGATCCCTTAGTTTTATGGCAAAATTTGGGTCAAATGAGGAATGGATCTGTGACCTTTGAATAGAAAATGTTGCTAGTAGACCTGCCTCCCAAGAGGAAATAGATTATGCCCTATGTTGGTGGCGGGGACATGTCTTTTACCCTCCAAGTGTTGAAAGGAGCAGGTCAAAAACAAATCTTTGGAGGAGGTTTAGTTGTAAGCATGCACCATCAAGTTAGAACCATCTTTCTTAAATCAAAAAGGTGGTTTATGGACTCAAGAATCTTAAAGGACAAGGCCGTTCTGTTAAAACGAGATAATTTAAACTAACCACCGACCTAACCTAGCAGGTTTCTTAACAGGAAGTCTAAACCTAAAAAGAGAATACACATGTTTAGATTTAATTGACTATCACACAAAGCCCAATTCAAGAAAGACCCTCCCTTCGAAACAGGGCGGCACTCATTAATAGATGATTCCTCCCAAGTGATTGAGAAAAAAAGACACAACGGTATTCAGTAATTAATGGAAAAGCTCTTAAAGAAATAAAGTCAAGAAAATTGTCTAATTGGTCTAACCAAACTTGTGAGCTGTTTGCATTGAGTCAAGCGTTAAAATACCTGCAAAAGCAGGAATGAATGAATCACTTATAGTGATTCAAAGTACACCTTTGAGGTGGCTCATACATTTAGAAAAGTTTTAAACTGAACGAGGTCTTCTTAATAGTAAAAGTCAAAACTTTATTCACAAAGAGATAATCACCCGAGTATTAAATAACCATCAGTTGCCAAAAGAAATAGCTATTGTCCACGTCCCTGGACACCAGAAAAACCTGTCTTTTAAGAGTCAGGAAAATAACTTAGCAAATCAGAGACAAGCAGGCCGACATTTCTTCTACACCTGTTTTCCACTCAGCTCCTTATCTCCCACCTCCTACCATGATCCCACTTTCCTCTTCTACTGAGAAAGAAAAGCTAATAGAAATGGTGCTAAAGAAAACTCAGAAGGAAAACAGATATTTCCAGACCAAAAAGAAACATTGTCCAAACCCCTTTATTAAAGAAATTTTGTCCCATCTGCACCAGAGGACCCATTAGGGATCCCAAGCCATGTGTGACGCAGTTTTCAGAGTTTATAAATGTATAAGAATTTATGCCCTGGCCAAACAAGTTACAGATAGTTGCTTACTAATAAACAAAGTACTAAAGAGATTGCCCTTTAAGGTGAGGAGTCCAGGCTTAGATCGTTCCAAAGTCCCCAGATTGATCACACAAAGACACCTCCGATAGGTCTTGTAAAATATTTATTAATGATAGTAGATTACTTCACTAAGTCCAAGCTATTCCCTTTTCAAATGCAATGGCCAGTAATATAGTTAAAGCATTAATTAAATATATAGTGCTCAAGTTCAGGCTAATACAAAATATTAACTCAGGCAATAGAACCTGAGTTAAGCACATATCGTTAAGAAGCTATCCCAAGCCCTGGACATTAAATAAGAACTTAGTTACCAAATGCCTTCCTATTGCCTGGTTAAAAATAGCCTTTCCCTCAGGAATTATATACTTGGTCTCTCCTCTACTTTCCCTTTACCTAAAACCATAGGTCTCCTTATCAAAAGCTGGAATAAGGAGGAACCTGAGCTGGCCTGGGAAGGACCTTATCTGGTGCTTCAAACCACTGAAACTGCAGTCCCGATGGCAGAAAAAGGATGGACCCATCACACCCGAGTCAAGAAAACACCACCACCTCCGGAGTCATGGGCCATTATTCAAGGGAAAAGCCCCCTCAAACTAAAGCTAAGAAAAGCTTAACTGTCTTTCATTTATTCTATTATTCTCTTCTTTTCTCATTCTATTGCTGACCACCTTGTTAATCACGTAACCAGGTCAGACTTGCTCCAAATCATTACCTTTGATGCTTGCCTTGTTATACCTTGTGAGGAGGATAAACAGTGGCAAAGACAAATCTCTACTTTAGAAAAATACCTCTCCCGGCCGGGCGCGGTGGCTCAAGCCTGTAATCCCAGCACTTTGGGAGGCCGAGGCGGGTGGATCACGAGGTCAAGAGATCGAGACCATCCTGGTCAACATGGTGAAACCCCATCTCTACTAAAAATACCAAAAAATTAGCTGGGCATGGTGGCGCGTGCCTGTAATCCCAGCTACTCAGGAGGCTGAGACAGGAGAATTGCCTGAACCCAGGAGGCAGAGGTTGCAGTGAGCCGAGATCACACCATTGC